ATCCCGTTTACAATTGCATCAAAAACAACTGTTAGGAATAAATTTAACCAAGGGAGTGAAAGATCTCTACACTGAAAACTACAACACATTGATGAAAGAAATTGAAGAGGATACAAATAAATGAAGGGATATTCTGTTCATGATTTGGAAGAATTAATAATATTAACTGTCTGTAACAAACCAATCCTCAGATTCAATGCAATTCCTATCAAAATTCCAATGGCATTTTCCACAGAAAAACAATCCTAAAATTTGTATGGAAGCACAAAAGATCCTGAATAGGCAAAGCAATCCCCCCCAAAAAGAACAAAGCTGGAGGCATCACACTTCCTCATTTCAAACTATATTACAAAGCTATAGTAAAAAGTATGGTACTGGCATAAAAACAGACATAGAACCAAGGGATAGAACCAAGACCACAGAAATAAATCCATGTACATATAGTCAATGAATATTTGACAAAGGAGCCAAGAATATCAATGGGGAAAGAGAGTCTCTTCAATCAGTGGTGCCGGGAAAGCTAGACATTCACATGTAAAAAAAAACTGGACCCCTATCTTATACCACTCACAAAAAATTAACTCAAAATGGATTAAAGACTTAAAAGTCTAAAACCAAAAAACTTCTAGAAGAAAACATCAGAAAAAAGTTCCTTAAAATTGGTCTTAAGAATGATTTTTTTGATATGATAGCAAAAATACAAGCAACAAGTGCAAAAATAAACAAGTGGAACTATATCAAACTAAAAGATTCTTCACAGCAAAAGAAACAATTGATCAAATGAAAAGGCAACCTATTGAATGGAAGAAAATATTTGCAAACCACGTATCTGTTACGGAGCTAATAGCCAAAATATATAAGGAACTTATACAACTCAATAACAAATAATAATCATCATCAAATTAAAGATGAACGAAGGATCTGAAGAGACTTTTCCAAAGAAGATATTCAAATGGCCAAAGGTATATGAAAAGGTACTCAACATCACTAATCATTGGTGAAATGCAAATTAAAACCACGAGACATCACCTCACACCTATTAAGATGTCTATTATAAAAAGACAAGAGATAACAAATGCTGGCAAGGGTGTGGAGAAAAGGGAACACTTGTACACTGTTGATGGGAATGTAAATCGGTACAACCACTATGGAAGGCAGTGTGGAGGTTCCTCAAACAATTAAAAATAGAACTACCAAATGATCAGCAATTCCACTTCTGAGTATATATCCAAAGGAAATGAAATCACTATCTCAAAGAGATACCTGCACATCCATCTTCACAGCAGCATCATTTACAATAACCAAGACATGGAAAAAACCTAAGTGTCCATTGACAGATGAATGGATAGAGAAGTCATGGTATATATACACAATGGAATATTATTCAGCCATAAGAAAGGAGAAAATCCTGCCATTTACAACATGGAAAAACATTAAGGGTATTACACTAAGTAAAATAAGTCAGAAAGAAAAAGACAAATACTGTATATCATTTATATGTGGAATCTTAAAAAACAAAAAAACCCACAAAAAACCTAAACTCATAAAAACAGAAAGTAGATTGGTATTTGCCAGGGGCAAGGGAAAGGGGGTAGGGAAAGGGTGAAGGTGGTCAAAGGTACAAACTTCCAATTATAAGTTCTGGGGGTGTAATGTATAACATGGTGACTACATACTGTATATTTGAAAGTTGCTAAGAGAGGTCTTTGAAGTTAATACACAAGAAAATTGTAACTATGTAACATGATGGATGTGTTAATTAATCTTATTGTGGTAGCCATTTTGCAACATATACATATATCAAATCATTATATTGTACACCTTAAACCTACAAAAAGTTATATGTCAATTATATCTCAATAAAGCTGGGGGTGGGGTGGGGAGAAAGGTGTGAGGAGTAAGGTAAAGAATGGAGAAAGCAACTAACCAGAGCTTAGATTCAGAGGCCATTTCAGCTTCTTTTTAGCACTCTATATATCCTGGGCTGGACGCTATGTGACACCAACTCTACATCTTTTACAACTTTTTACAATTAAAAAGATGAGAAAAATAAACTAGAAGCAAATTCTGGCAATAACTTTCTAAAAAGCCACTAAATTTGTCAATAGTAATTATTTAAAGACAAAAGACATAGCAAATGATATATTTATCCTGCTTTATGAGAACCTGAGGATCAAATGTAGAGACATTGATTTACATTTTGCAATCTTGTGTTTACACAATGTCACCTTATAAAGACTCTAAAACCTTTTGAGAGTATGACCACCCACACACAAAGAATGGTGGCCCCCACTAACCAAGGGGAAGTACCACTGAAACAATCATTTGAGTGAGACTTACCCGAGACTCATTCTGTCCTGTGCACCTATGATTCTACAGACACAATCAGCATTTCCTTACAAGTAAAATCAGATTAAAAAACATGAAGGCAGCCGTTTTTATGGGGAAATGAAGCAAATGGACAGAAGAATGTCTAATATTCATTCATCCAACATTTACTACCCACAAGCATTACACTAGCTGAGCAAAGAACAAAGTATTTAAAATGACTAAGACAGCTTCTGCTTTCTAAGGGCTAACAATCTAAAAAGTAAGGTTAACATGTAAACATGTTAGATGTTATGGAAGAGTGGAGATTATGCCAGGAGCGAGAGTAAGGAAGAATTTTACCTCTTTGATTTGGATATTGAAATGTAATATAGGAGCAAATGGGTTTACTATGGGCTAGTTTCCCAAAGTATGTTATCCAGAACACTAAACTGGTAAATCTGGAGAAAGGGGATGGTGTGGATGTTTCCATGATTAAACACTACATATTATAGTCCTCCTATAGGATTCACTGTGAGCATTAGCAAATTAGCAGCTATAAGAGGCCCACCACTGAAAACAAAAGCACAAAACTATTCAATCTGCATTTCCCATCTTAATAAACCAGGGAACCCTTTTACAGAGTAGCACTTATAAACAATCTTGTAAACAAATTTTGAGAAAACACGTTGTACGGCCTCAATGGCACTAAGTAGCTGCTAACACTGCAAGAGAGGATGAGCCCAAAGCCAGAATCCCCTTGTGCTTGGCCTCTTTTAGGTTAGATTCATTAGTTGCATGCAACATTTCAGTAGCTACTTAAAAAAAAGTTAAGCACACAGGTATCTGTAATACAAGATCAAGCAAGAAAGAAAACACAACCCACAGATAAATCCTGATATCTTACTTTGAGCACAAATGTTCTTCTAAAATGTTAACTCTTACCAAAGACAAAATTTAAGAGAATGCAGATGCTGGGGCCTGATGGGCTATGGGTCTTGGCTTTTGGCTGTGCAAACATGTAAATGTCAATTATTGAACCCTTCCTGTAGTGTGATGGAGAAAAGCTATTAAAATGAAATTCTCAAGTTGCAGTCTCAAGAAACTGAAATAGCTAAACCCATCTAACCAAAGATTCAGTCATACCAATTGGTCCCATTTCTCACATTGTGCCAAGGTGCCTGGACTCTAACACAAACACATTTACTATATTTTAGTTGGTAATGGGTTTCATAGTAAACCTCTGCTCATTTCATTAACATTTATTTAAAATGTTCAGGTATCATACTAGATAGCAATGAAGTAACAGATTAGTAAAATCTCATGACCACCAAAGAACCATGTTTTATTCACAATTATCATAGAAAAATTCTTTTCTAAAAGATTCTGCAGAAAGACCAACCGCTTAAATGATCAGATTCTTCACTGGTTTTAAGACAAGAGGTCAATGTTTCCATTGCTTTCTCTGGCCTTGTCAGGTCCCCTTCAGTGATGCTGGAAAATAACTGCCCCTTAAAGAGAATTCAGCCAACTCACAATTTCCTGTGTACCTAATTTACAAGTGGATGAAATGCTGCAGATTTTATACTGTGGGCTGGTTCTATTCTCTCATGATGTTCATTTGCCATCTTTTGGTATGTGCATAAAAATGCAAAACAATTTAAGTATTTGTCTAAAATGAAACTTCCTCAAAATACAGATAGTCAAAATGATTAAGATGCTTACCACAGATGCCCTTCCAGTGGCATGCTAGAGTTAACTAGATACTTTTTGAAAGATGATTGTGTTTGTGTGAAGGGGTGGGTGGAAGTGGGCACTGCACTATCAGAAAATCTGCATATGCCCAACTCTGCTTAACAAGAGTGTGACCTTAGATGGCAATACTGCACCTAAAATGAAAGGGTTGTACTGAACAATTTCTAGTTTCCTCTAGCTCTAAAGATTCTTAATTTTCATTCTTTATTGTGTGATCAAGTAATATTTCATTGTGGAGTTACTTAAAAACGATTAATGGGTTAAATTATGAAAATCTGTTAATTCCCCTAATGTAAAATATTCCTATTTGCTAGGCTTATCTTTGAAACTGTTAGCACACAACTATGATAGTTCTCATTTTCTTTGCAGATTCTAGCCCATGAGGCAAGTTAATTGCATAGCCGATATATTTCAGTATACAGAATGCATTAGACACACTATCAATACAATAAATTATGCCTCTTAAAGCCTATAGTACAAACCTTCCACTCTGTCATTTAAAAGTGGCTTTTAAAATGCAGTTCAAGAAGGTATTCAAGAGAAATCATCTCAGAAGCTTGCTGAAAACGCAGATTCCTGGCTCCAGAATCTGCATTTGAACACATTCTGGTGATTCTTACACCACCTGAGTTTTAGAAATGTTGACTGATGAAAAAGTTTAAATATTAACTAGTAACTATTTTTGAAAATAACTATTGAAAAAATGGGGCACAGCTATGAATATCAATTTGGGGTTTTAAGATAATTTATTAAATTTGAGGTTTTGAAAATTGCATAAAATACTGCACCTTAAGAATTTTCTAATAAGCTCTCCCTAGCTATACAGTAAGCAACATAAGACTGTAACTAAGTTCAGTGCATCCTTTAATAATGTACTCAAATCCCTAAACCAAATGCATAAAAAAGGCATTAAAGCAATTCACATATTTGTTTCCTAGGGTTTGTTTCCAGGATGGCTTTTGTTTCTGAAGCAATCCACAAAGCCAAGACTGAGGATTCAGAGGAAGGCACCAAGGCACCCGCAGCCACACGTACGTTCGTAAGGGGAAGTCAGCTGCCCATACCGCCCCACTGCTGCCTGTGTCTGCCTTTGTGAGATTTGGCCAGTTCCATCTTCACACTTCTAAAACTTCCTACTGAAAACCCCAAGTCCAGAAGTGGTATAGCAATAAAAAAAAAGTCAACAGAGAACAAAGTTTTTGAAAAATAATGGGAGAAGTGATATCCATTTTGAAAAAGATGTGTAGCATCATCCCTATAAAGAAGGAAGAGTCATTCTGAAAACTTTCAGTAAAATATTCCATGGAATATTTAAAAAGACACAGGTTTTGCTAAGCGGTATCTTTTCTCTTTAATTTCTCCCATTTCACCCCATCATAACTCTAGATGAAATTATTAGGATGCTTTTATTTCTTCAAAAATCAAGGGATATAACCAACTTTGTACCCAATTTTAATAGTGACTTTCTTCAAATGAATAGAAAATGCAGTAAGGTTCTATTACCTTTCCTGCAGCTCTATTGTTACTAAAAAGGTCTTGGATTCCTATTTTTAAAGGAGATTGGCCATTCATCCTTTTCCTGAGAGAACACAACACAGGTATTATAGTATTTTTTGTTAGAATTCAGATAAATTAAATATTTAGCAGTGTCTCTGTAGCAACAAGGGTTCATTTGTCCACTGTAGCCTAAAGCAAGCATTCCCTCTAGCTAGTTCCTATGGTGTGCATTCCCTCTAGCTAGTTCCTATGGTGTTTCAGAATCTTCCCAGTTGCTATGTTGTATATCCCAAGAAAGGGTAACATTTCATAACTAAAAGGGAAACTAATATCCTCTGTGGGGTTTTCTTCCTTCTCTTAGCTCATCTGTAGTTTATACAGATTTTTTAAATTTAGGTTTCTACTTCTGGGTGGGGAGGCTTAGAAAAATCATGGAAGTAAAATAAATGATAAATCTTGACTTTTTCCAGTTGTTGCCGAGCTTTGTTGTCATTGTAGGATAAAAGAGAGTTCTTTAAGGCCACTAGAGTATCCACGAAGTCCTGAGTCTCAGCAACCCTAATGGTAAATGAATGCATCAAATTTCTAGCCTTTCTGTTGATCTTTCTTAAGCTTGCTAAAATTACACAAAAATCAAATGTTTGCCCTTGTAACTTTAATTCCCACTATACAACCTCATCTTAATCCAAAAAAAGGTATATTACAGGCAGATTCTTAGCATGTAAAGAGGACAAGCATAAGTCCTTTAGCATTAACAACATTGAACAAAGTATTCAAATTATTCCTCTTAATGTTCCCCCTGCCCCTCTGGCAATTATTTGTCAGCTTAGGAAGGAAAAGAGATTCTCAGTAAAGAGTTGTTGGCAAATCTAAACAATGTGTTAAAAAGAAATTGTATAGAACAAGACTAATAAAATCAAGCAAAAGTGGATCTACTTTAACTAAACATCAGACATTATTTTTATTTATGGAGAGAAAAAAGTCAAAAGTTAGAATGAAAATTATGCATAGGCTTTACACAAATTGTTAAGGAAATACTGTCAACATCATTTTATCTGAGAATCATTTGCAAACTGCTGTAACTTGTGCTAGAAATCAAAGGAAAACTTTTGTGACAAAAAGGATAAAAATGATCATTCACTAGGTAATCTACTTTGGGATTATTTGGGGAGAAAAGGTCCATCAATAGAATATGTCCTGCTAGTAATCATCCCAACCCCACACATATTAGATGAAAATGTCACATACCACTCAGAACAGGCAACAGAGAGCCCTGTCTTAGAAAGGATACATGTTAAAAATGAAAGATGAAAAAAATGACAGGTTCCACTTCCCCAGAGAGACAGGAGACTAAATCGGAACAGAAAGGTCATTGTCAAAAGCTGATAGCCAATAAAGGTTGATGACAGTCAAGAGAACAATTTCTTTTTGGAATTCAAGTGCATAAAAATGACTGTAAAATCTTTGTAGTAGTAAAGGACACACCACTATCTCAATGATAGTTTTTAGAACTGCCTTAGTAAACAGAATGAAAATGTAAGGCTAAATCCAAAACCAGTGCCACAATCTGCCGTACATCTACAGTCCCTGTGAATTAATTTCTCTCTCTTTCTGGGAGGTTCTTGCCCACATAACACACGGCAAAGTGGACACTCTTCTGGTGACAGGTATTGAAGAGATAAAAACTAGTCTCAGGCTTCAGTACACCAAACTGATCAATCCTACTAAAAAGGGCAAATAATGACTCATCAATTGACAAATGGGGCACATATGAGACCATTAAGAAAGATTTAACTGTTGAAAAATATCATTTGTCCAGCCTAGAGTCATCCAGTGATCTAAAGGGCCTAAAAGACTTATTTCCCTCAAATATACTTCCCTTCCTCTTTCACTTACAAGAATTCTACAGTATTTCACTAATTGAACTAATAATATGCCCAGTTTCTTAAAATGTAGAAAACTTGATGGAGATGGAATATTAAGCTTGAGCTTCAAACCTTGTGACTAGTTTTAGAATAAGCGTGTAGAGTATGGTGACAGATTGACAAAGAAGAGATTGAACAAACTGCTTCTTCCCAACTCCCTCTAGGGTCCATCCCCCCAAGAGATTAAAGGTCAAGGGTCTAAAGGACTATTACCTCATCAGCAGCCTTTGAAATGGAAATTAGTTTTTTGATAAGGATACTAAATATTGGAATAGACTCAATCCCTTTCCTCAATATTCTTAAGCATGAACTTTTATCTGAATGACTTGCATGTAATCCCTTCCATTAATCTCAGAATCTAAATATATATAATTTAAGACCAGAAAATATATTCTGGATTTTGTGTAGCTCTTGCTGAATTTAGCAATGTGATTATAGAATTACCTTAACAATTCCATCTATTAAATTATATCCTGCTTTACTTAAAGGTATTTGGTAGAGGTAAAAAAGGTTTAAAGAATTTCATATGAAAATACTATATAACATTATACATGCTTCTTTTTCTTGACAGGGTTTATCTTCAGTACTGGGAAAGTTTCAACTCCCCTAGACTAAAAAATTAACAGATCTCAAACATGTTCTCCACTTTCATCTATGCTTTTCTTCATAAAAAGTTACAATTTCATTATGCTATACCTCTGAAATTTAAAAAGTGTTCTGCCAAAGTGTAAAAAGGGTATGTAATTTTCAAATGTTATGAACCTAAAAATACTTCAATTTTACTATAATTTTATAAATTTATTTCACCCACTTAATCTAAACACATTTTAACCTTTTTCTACTGGTTACTCCAAAAGCACTACAAGGCACAGCAGTGATATATATGAGTGGTGAGTCAGGTCATAGGGTCATGTCCTCAGTAAGGACACACGAGGCCACTTTACTGAAGATGGACAATGAATAGCGTTTGTTATCCCTTGTCCCAGATAATCAGGGGTAATGCAAAATGAGTAAAGTCATCTTAAATGTGTGTTCCCTCCATTTAGCTTCTAAATAAAATGGAGAGTTTACGTGTGAGAACAGCAGAGCAGAACAAAGAGACCCCCCCCATTTAGCTTCTAAATAAAATGGAGAGTTTACGTGGGAGAATAGCAGAGCAGAAGAGATCCCCTCTTGAACCCCCAATTTGTTATGGGACTTTTGTAAGCATGGCGTCAAGCTGCTAAAGACTAGATATTTCAGAGTATGTGATGTGCCCCTAACTTATAATTTCCTAACTAACTGTTTCAACTCTGAGCCATCCACAATCCTAGTGAGAGAAAAAAAGGGGTTGAAGGGAAGTAAGAAAATCAATAATGTCCAAAGATGTCTGCTTTAAACAGCTTTTAAAGTATCTGCCATCTGCTATAGATATTGTTGTTTCCATTCTCTAGGCAGAAATGGGAGTACGTTGGTGTGACCAACACAAGCTAAGAACATATAGTAAAAAGACAATGCATATTATGTACCATGTAATTACAGTTAAGTTTAACAAATATGAACTTCAAGTGGTGTATTTTTCCCATGCTAAAAAGCAAAGCTTTTAAAATTCCATTATCTTAAGATGGTTTTAAATGGTTTCTTTAAATGTGATTATTTCCTAAACCACACAAGAGTAAAATAGAGCATTTATTGATGGAATAACAAAAGTGCTTTTCTTAAATATTCTTCAAAATACATTTGTACAACTTACAATAATATATCCAAAATAACTGTATATACAAAACATTACCTAGTTTTAATGTATGTGCTTTTTTCCCCAAAAATTACAAAGTAACTTCTTTTTAATTTTTTTTTTGGCAAAGTTCAACCTTAAGAGAGGTGACAATTTTAAAGGTTGGTTTAAGAAAATAGAACCTGAGGGAAATTGACACGCAAGAGTCAATGACAAGCAAGAAATTTGAAGGAATAGTTTTAGTTTGTTAAATAAAAATGTTTTTAGAGTGATACTTTTCACATTACAAAAATAAACCAAAATGAAGAAAAGGTCACTGTAAAATGATGAGAAAGGATCTGTAGACTTGCTCTTAGTATTTAAAATAGCCAACAATGCATGTCAAAAAATGAATGCAAAATCACAACAGTCTTGTATTTACTTTGTATTTGGAGAAGATATAGTGAAATAAGTGGCCACATTCTGTTTTCTTTTAATTGCTATTAATATGGTTGATCTGATTGGCTCTTCGATGAATTTCATCCAAGAAGTTCTCCAGCTGTTCTATTAGCATTCGTTTTTTAAACCTGTATAAAAAAAATAACAGCACTCTCAATTTCTTTTTAACGGATAAAGTTATATATCAGTATAATGTTTTTCTTAAAAGAAACTGCCTTAGTAAGATTTTTCAAAGTGAGTGAAAAAAAATCAACAACTTTATGATATAGAAAATTTGCTGGAAGACTAGCAAATTATTTTTATCAATACTGTATTATAGTTGATTCCTAAAACAAATAATCCAGGCCTAACTACAATTGGAAAGAGGTTATTCCTTCCACAATCAAAAAGAAAAATGAAATACCTAGTATGTACAGGATTACTAGTATTTCAACAAAATTAGGACTCCCAAAGCAATGACTCCAATAGCTTCTCATGTTCTTTAAAAGTTTAATGTTAAAAGGAATGTGAACAAAGTATGAATATAATCCCCCACAAAATGTTAGATGAAATGAAAGCTGGGTAGTAGTATTTAAAACACAGTGTTCTGCTACAATTTGAAAGCTAGCAAATCAAGGATAATTAGACATCTTTCGTATAGAATATACCAAACAGTTAAAGTTCAAGCTGCAATTTAATTTTTTTTCAGTAATAAATATAGTACGCTAAAATTGCATTCATCTACATAAGCACTAATACTGCTGATGCTTTTTTAGAATGTCCCAAAACACTCTCTGATCTATACCTACTTTCTCTCTACTTGTAACCAGCATAATATTACACAACTCTCAAAAACACTGATTTTCAACCTTTTTCATCTCATGGCACACATAAATTTAATCACTAAAATTCTGCGGCACATCAAAAATATATTTTTTGCCAATCTGACAAAAAACAGGTATAATTTTGATTCATTCACACCCATNAAAATTCTGCGGCACATCAAAAATATATTTTTTGCCAATCTGACAAAAAACAGGTATAATTTTGATTCATTCACGCCCATTATTGTTGTGTTGGCTGTTGTCATTTTTTTACTTGACAATCTAAGGGAAAAGAGGTCAATGCCCCTGACTAAATAGGTACTGCATGTTTTTAAAATTCTTGCAGGGCACTGGTTGAAAATTGCTGCTCTAAAAGGTGGCTGCAGGCACCAGGAATATAGCTAAATCCATGATGATGTCTAAGCTGACAGAATGTTACATAAAGAGAATAGGTTACATACTCAAAACAAATAATGTGAAAAGTTATCGCTTTATCTTGCACCTTTCAAAGTGGCCTANCAATCTAAAACAAACTTTAAGTGTAGCATGAAAGAAACTGTGGGACTAACTAAAGAATGGGTATATTTGGAAGATAAGATAAACCCTAAATTTTATTACAATACAAAAAGTCTTAAAGGAAAAATAAAAAATAATTTTTACAATCACTAAACTCAACACTATGCTTCCCTGTTAATTGCACTACGGAGTTACCATTTATAATCTTGACCCACATTCCTTGTACTAAAGTACATAATCCTGGGCTACTGAAGCAATCAGAATGAGGACCATTTGTCGGACTCTGGTCCCCTTAATTACATGCTTTCCCACATACAAGTGAACTGCAATAAAATATTGCCTTTCAAGGTTAATACTAATCACTGATTAATATTAATGGTAGTCCAAATACACAAAGTAGAAAAATTAGAGGCTATAAAATATAAAGACACCAAAAGGGTAGGAAAAAGGAGAATTATGCAAGTATCTGTACGTTGTAGGAAGAAAAGGTTCAAGTTTTAAAGAATTTTTGTGTGGCTATTTTTTAAGTGAACTTCTTTCAATAAATTAAAAAAGAGAAAAGTGCTTGTGTGTGTGTCACATACATGCATAACACAACAGATATTGTTAAAATACTACTTATAATGTTCTATAGATTTACCTTGATGCTTCTTTAATGACATTTTGTAAAAATATTAGTCTTGTTTGTAAACTGCCTTGTACATGCTTCAGTAAAGTGAAGATTCTTTCATATTCTTAAAAGAGAAGCAAAAAGAAAAATTAAGTGGCTTTCCTTTATACTCTTATTCAATAATTTTATATTGCAGTTTACAAGATATACTAAGACAAAAACAAAAATAATCTACATAAAATTTTCACTGCTCACTGAAGACTTTAACCTGTCAAACACTGCTTTTTTTAGTACAAGTTCCCGTTAAGGTATCAAAGCTTAGAAGGGTGAATAAATAACTTTTTGGTAGTGCCACTGAAAAGAAGCATGTGGCCTTTACAAAAATCTACCCTTTTAATCTTAATTCTAAACTACAGTCAACATAGGGGGATGGGGGTTCAGGGATGGAGGGTATATGGAGGAAAATAATAAAACAGATTAAGAGTGCTATTTCAGTTTCAAGTTTTCACATAAAACTCTTCCAAGGACTAAACATCCTAAATGGTAAGGACTGAGTCTTACCTACTCTGGACCATCGTAACAAGCAATCTGTCAACACCTTATGAATGAATGCCAGTAATACTGAAATTTTATCCCACAAAGTTCTTTTGTTTTCATATAATAGCGAGCTTTCATAACTTTAGTTTTTTGACCTAAACACATCCCTGGTCACCATCATAGTTCAAATCTTAAACACAGTGGTAGGCTCTATGCCAAGGACTTCACAGACATGAAGTCATTAAATATTTCCTACGTCTTTTTGGGTTTGCAGCTACATTAAAATTTCAACTGCTGGCTAGAAGAATACTCAAGACTATGGGTTCCAGTCATGGTAGGAACTATGTGCAATATATCTGTGTGCTCTTCCTGTGTTCTCAGTCCCTCCTGCTTACCATACCTAGCACAGTACTTTGGGTATAGCAGATATTTGTCAGTTTTTGTCAGCTAAACAAAAAATCAAATCTCTAGCTTATATATTGTTCAAGACTGATCTAGAATCAGATATACGCTTTTAGTTAGTTTATGGTGGGTTTTTTTTTTTTTAGCACACACAGAAATCAAACCTGAGGTTTGTGTCTAATTTTACATACTTCTTCCTGGCTTTCGAATCTCTTTCATAATTTGTGCTTTTAGTTCAGTATTGACTTCTTCGTGGCTTCTGCAATGAATCAATTTCTTTCCTTTGTTGAGTGAAGATGCTGGTATATTCTCTTCAGGGCACTGTACTTTATCTCTTGGCTCCTCATGATTTTCTAAAAATCCACCAACAGTGAGGTCATTAGTTCCTAAATGATCATGACCAAGAGCCTCTGTATGATTGGTTGGTCGTTCCAGTAAATTGGCTGGAGAAGATGATGTTGAAAACTCGGTATCCATAGCATTTGGTGTAATATCTGATGAAAGCTGGTCAACAACATGATTTTCAACCACATCATCTATTGTCAAATCATTACTTGCTTCTGAAACTAAAAACAAAGATAAGGGGGGAAAAATTATGAGAGACAATTTCAAAGCACATAGTAAAGAAAGCTCCAAAGAAATATCATCGCAGCAAATCACAACTGATTCTCCTTGATACAAAAATTAACAAATAATGTGATGTGACTCTTAAGCTTTGATAAAGATATGGTAGATTCAACATGAAACAATATTTACAAAATCTGTACAATTTCTGCCCTTAGGAAAAATAAAAGCAACTTCAACTTTTACTTCTCTGATTTTTCTATGACAATTTTATTGAACAAGTAGGGTTTTAATGGTTTAGGGAAATATATATGATCAAGATTATCATGCTTATTCTTTCTTTAGCCCTAGGTCATTCCAATCTAAGGCTGCCTTATACAAAAGCAAACATAGGGAGTTAAAAATGTTCAATGTTTTTTAGGAAACATACCACCAAACAGGTCATTTCACAGTACACCCTTTTCTTATACTTATCCATCTGGTCTCCATTACCTGAGTAATGCAGAACAACCCATTACGCACTTCAATTCATTTGAAAACTAGACTTAAAAGCTTGCCACCTTGTTACTTGACGTTAAATTATTACCTTGCTCCCCAAAGAAAGCAGCTGAATTCTAAGTTCCCTGATTGCTCACCAAACCTCCAGGACAACAGCTGAATTCATCTCTACTTCCCTCACTATCCAAAATGTACTCATCCCCACAAAAATCCCTCAAACTTCTGACTCCCTCCTAAATTCTATTCCATGATATGCAAACTTTACTGAATGTCTTCTACAACTCCTTTTTTAACTGAAACCAGCTCTCTTGCAAAGAAACTGCTCTCCTTCAGACCTGAAATAGAAACTTTCTCTCAAACACTCTCCATAGACATGGACTCACTGATTTCTTCAACTCCCAGTATCACCTCAAGATCCTTTTTCCATGCACTCTTGTAAAAAATATTGCTCTTCTGAGGCTCAACTGTGACTCTTCACTCTTCCTCTCTCTCCCCATCACTATCTTTACTGATCTGTAGGCACACCTCTGTTGTCACGATGTCCCCGGCACTCAGTTCACAGACTTCCTCCCAACCCCATGTCCCTCAGTATATAATTTTAGATCCTTACTACTCAAAGTGTGGTATGTGGACAAGAAGCATTAGAACCATCAGTTCACAAGAAATGCTCATCTAAATCTTTACCCCAACTCAATGAATCAGAATCTGTAGTTTAACTAACTAGGCCCCAGGTGATTCACATACACATGTGAGAAGTTTGAGAAGTGCTGTAGTGCATGACTTTAATGTCTAAGCAGATAAGCTGCCAAGAACCTGGCCTACCAATTCCTCAATCTCCAAAAAACTTTTCCACCTGTAAGTCTGCCTCTCAAGTCAAACACAAATTCCAGGATGAAGAGTAAACTTATCCTGCTATTGTTCTTTAACTCAGCCAGACTTTTATTCCAGTGACTCCTCCATTTCCCCCCTCCCATTAATCAGATCCCTTCTAAAAATCCATTTTCTTATCTATCCAACTTATATCCCATAATGTGTCACTTTTTAGTAATGTCCTAAATTCTGTCATTCTTTTGTTCTCCCATGACACTGGCCAGGCAAAATCCCACATTTGATGACTCTATCAATCTGCTTGCTTCAGACCTGCATTTGGAATGATGACCACTACTGGAGAAATATGACCCAGCTATAGGGTGGTCGCAATCACCATCTGTACTTGGGCCTTAGCACTGCCTAGAAAGCTTAATCCAACCCTTTCTCCCTCTCCCACAAAAGATCGTTCTAGCCTTCTCTAATCTCTTCAAATCTCTGATTTTCCCAATCTCTCCTTCCCTCTTAGCAGTATACATCACCTCCTGCTTCACAGAGCAAAGAAAAGCAGAGGTGTGGGATGGGAACTTCCTCTGCTTCCCACCATTAATCTTGAATCCACCATTAAGCTTTGATGGAAGCAGCATTCTTTCATCTGGGATCTGGACTGGATTCCTTCAGCTTTCTCAGTGATTTTATGATTATGCTTTTTCTCATCTTCATTTTCAACCATGCCCTTTCTACTGGTTCCATAACACCCACATTTAAACATGCTCAACTCTCTATCATCTTAAAAACAAAGCAAAATCACTATTTTGACCCCATAACCTCTTCTAGGTACCATTCTCTTTTCCCACCTACCCTTCACAGCTACACTCATTGTCTCTACTTTCTCATCTTTCTTTCACTCTTCAACCCACTTCTGTAGTCTTCTGTCCCCTTTACTCCACCAAAATTGCTCTTGCTAAGATAACCAAAGACTAACAGAACCTTTCTAATTTTCTTCAATGATCTGCTTAACAAGTATTTGAGAGGGAGGCGCCGGTGAAGATACAAGAGGTACTCGCCACCTCCCACACCACATCAAAATTACAACTAAAATACAGAAAAAACATCATTCAGAACCACCTGGATCTGGCTGAAGGGAAGTCCTACAACTAGAGAATTAAAGAAGAGGCAACACTGACGCTGGTAGGAAGGGTGGAGGTCCTTGGTGGAATCGCAGAACCAGCTGGTCCCACACCCACATGTGGTGGTTTAAAATCAGGATATCTTGGCTGTGGAGGATTGCCTGAGGAGCAAGGGATCCAGCCCCACACCAGGCCCCTCAACCCAGGGTTCCAGTGTTGGGAAGAGAAGTCCCCACAACTTCTGGCTGGGCCTCAGGCAGTTCCTCTTAAAGGGCTGGCTCAAGGACTTAACAGGACTCATTCCCTCTGAGCTCCAGTGCTAGGGCAGCAGCTTAAAAAGAACGTGAGACATTCAGGGAGGAACAAACTTGTCTGGAATCAGGAGAAAAACTGGAGGGGCAGCTTTTTCCCAGAAAGAATTGCTGGCAGAGGCCAGTGTTCCTTTGCTTAGCCCTCCCCACCACAGAGCCAACAGACAGGCACCATAACTGAGTCTTCATCAACATGGCTCACACTGTTCCCCCTACCCAGGTGATTCCCTGAGACCCCACCCCTCTCTACTTGCAGGCTCATCCAAGCCATTTCCAGTGGCCTCTCTTGCTTCATGCTTCAGACTTTCCTAAAATCTTTCAAACAAGCAGCAACTGGACTAGGATACCCCATACTTCTCAATAAGTGGCTCCAGGCCCAGTACTAGCAGCAGCTCTCCTTAGTTCATAGCTTGGCCTCTCCTGGGTACCTCCAAGCCCAACGTAAGTAGCAGCCATCTGCAGATCACTCTGTAGCTTGTGCCAGGTGGCCACAGCAGGGCACAGGCAGTAGCTAAACTGCACCTCCCAGGAGGCCCCAGAGCCAGTGCACCCAGTGGTCAGCTTCGACCACACAAGATTACACATCCACCAGTGACACACTCAAAGGGCAAACTCAGCAAGCACCAAAGCTCCACTGAAGCAAGTCCTGCTCCATAGGGTCAGCGTCTGCACAGCAGCTCTCCCACTGTAGTCGCAGCCGATCCTTGCAACTGATTGGCCTGGGGGGTCAATCCCTCCCAGTGATGCCAACATCAATTAAGGCTCAATTACAATAGGACAGTGTGCACAGCTCATGGAGAAGTGCAACTACAGTGCCTAGTTCAGGTGACTGGGGTGGCTGAGTCACTGGGCACTACAGGACACCTACTACACAAGGCCACTCTATTAAGTCTGGGAGACATAGTACAGCTCTACCTAAAACATAGAAACAGAGAGAAGCAGCCAAAATGTGGAGACAAAGAAATGTCAAAAATGAAACAAATCTCCAGAATAAGAACTAAATGAAATGGATGAAGCAAACTACCAGACACAGAGTTCAAAACAATGGTTATAAGGATACTCAAGAAACTTCATAAGAACTTCAAAGAACTTCATGAGAACTTCAAGGAACATCATAAAAAAGGGCCAGACAGAAATGAAGAATACACTAACTGAAATGAAGAATAATTTACAGGGAATCAACAGTAGAGTAGAGGATGCCGAGAATCAAATCAGCAATTTGGAATATAAGGAAGCAAAAAACACCCAATCAGAACAGCAAGAAGAAAAAGAATCCAAAAATAAGAACAGTGAGCCTCTGGGACAACTTCAAGAATACCAAAATTCGCATCATGGGATGATGGAAGGAGAAAAGAGGGAGCAAGGAATTGAAAACCTGTTTGAAAAAATGACAGAAAACTTCCTCTACTTAGTGAAAGAAATAGACATACAAGTCCAGGAAGCACAGAGAGTCTCAAACAAGAGGAACCCAAAGAGGCCCACAACAAGACACATCATAATTAAAATGCCAAAAGATTAAATACAAAGAGAGAATCTTGAAAGCAGCAAGAGAAAAGCAATTAGTTACCTTCAAGGGAGCACCCATATGATTGTCAGCCGACTTCTCAACAGAAACTTTGCAGGCCAGAAGGGAGTGGCAAGAAATACTCAAAGTGATGAAAATCAAGAACCTACAACCAAGATTACTCTACCCAGGAGAGCTATCATTTAGAACTGAAGATCAGATAAAGAGCTTCCCAGGCAGAAAAAGCTAAAGGAGTTCATCACCACCAAACCAGTACTACAGGAAATGTTAAAGGGTCTTCTTTATGAAGAAGAAGAAGGAGGAGAAAAGATCAAAAATATGAATAATAAAATGGCAATAAATACATATTTATCAACAAAAGAACCTAAAAATCAAAACAAATGAACAAGCAGAACAGAAACAGGCTTACAGATACAGAGAACATTTTGACAGTTGTCAGATGGGAGGAGGATTAAGGGGATGGGTGAAAAAGGTGAAGGGATTCAGAAGTACAAATTAGTAGTTATAGTGTAGTCATGGGTGTCTAGGGAAGATAGTCAATAATATTCTAATAACTATGTATGGTGTCAGATGGGTATGAGTTTTTGGGGGTTGATCACTTATTAAGTTTTACAATGTCTAATTACTGGGGTGTACACCAGAAACTAATATAACATTGTATGTCAACTTTAATTAATAAAAATTAAAAAGTATGATTAAAAAGTTAAAAAAGAAAGAAAAATATTTCAGACCACCAACCACTCAATTTTCTTTTCCTTTAGCTTCCATGACACCAAATACTTGCCTATTTTTTCCAATTTCTTTATGCTTCATTCTCAATCCCATTTTCTGAGCCTTGTATATCCTCTTAACTTGGCACTTTCAAAGTCCTGTTTCAGGCTCTTTGTTTCCTCTTCTCATTGTTTCTCTTGGTGAGACTTTATTAACTCCAATGGGAGTTAATCTATCTCCCATACCTACCTCTCTAGCCCTCCTCTTCTGAGTTCCAAACTCAAAGTTATCTTCTAACTTAAGGTGTCCACTTGGCTATCTATTTAGTTTAGAATATACACTTCTAAACTAAAATCAATCCTCCACTCCACCCCTGACATGATCATCTACCCAGTGTCTTTCAAAACTCTTCCCTTGCCCTGGCTCCAACATCCTATCAGTCATCACCAAGTCCTTTGCTGATATGTCCAATTATTTCTCAAATACATATTTTTCTCGCAACCCCACAGGCAGGTCACCATTAGCACTTCCCTGGCTTTACCAGCTGGTTCCTGTACATCCAAAATAATTATTTAACAACATCAAATATACAGTCAGTGTCCACAATTTTAATTACCTTATATAGTTTCTGTTTGTGGAAAAGTTTGATTTTGTTTGATTCAGGGTCCAAATCAGGCCCAAAATTGTAACTGGTTATATGTCTCTTAACTATCTTTGAACGTATAAAGTCCTTCTGTATCTCTGTTTTTTCTATGCATTTTTCTGGAAACACACAAACACACACACCCCAATTCTTTGTCCTACAGAATTTCCCATAATCTGGATTTTACTAATTGCATCCGTTCTGTCATTTAAAATGCTCTGTCCCTTATATTTCCTATAAATTGGTAGTTCAATCTAGAGGTGTTATCTGGTCGATGTTCAAAAAGAATTGCAGGATGTGAGGGAGTGAGAGTGGGTAGGAATACTTCAGAGGTAGTAATGCATAATTCCATTAGGAGGTATATAAATATTTGTATTATTCTCTCCAGTTAAAATGTAATGAGCCATGAATAATCACTACCTATAATTAATGAATCCATCATTTCATTAAGGGTTCCCTACATCCATTCTTATTCTTCCCTGATAATATTCTACACATTTTAGAGTCTTTATAAAATGCTAATCATATCCAGTCTCTACTACCTCTTTGAACATTTCAGCGGATTCTCATTGTCCTTAGAATAAAGCCTAGGATCTTTAAAATGGCTTCCAAAGGCCCTCCATGATCTGGCTTCTGCCTTTTAATTTCCACTTTATCTCATTCCCAACACGTTTACTATATGAGAATTTTCAGTTACCTCAATGCCCTTCTCTTTACTCTCTACTCTTCTTAGACTACTCCCCTAGCACAGGCAAATGCACAGCTTTAGTTAACTAATTCCATTCACCCTTCAAGTGTTGGTTTAAATAACTTCCTAGTAAAGTGCCTTGACTTTATACATCAAGTTAAATCCTCATGCCAAATACATCCACAACATATTTGACTTCTCTTTTATAAAATTCACCACATTTCCAATGAAATGTTCGATGATTTTCTTTCCTCACGCATTAAAAGTGAAAGCAAAAATCACTATCTTGATCACTGCTATACCTCAATGTCTAGTACTATCGAAAATAGCACAGGTGCCCAACCGGTGTGGCTCAGCAGTTGAGCATCAACCTAGGATCCAGGAGATCAGGTTTCGATTCCCAGTCAGGGCACATGCCCGGGTTGCGGGCTGCAGCCGATCAATGACTCTCTTATCACTGATGTTTCTATCTCTCTCTCTCTCCCTTCCTCTCTCTCTGAAATCAATAAATATAAATAAATAAATAAATAAATAAATAAATAAATAAATAAATAAATAAATAAAATAGCACAGGTGTTTAATAATTAGTTGTTGCATTAAACTGAAATTGAAACATTTTCTATGGGTATTGATAATACTCCTTTAAAGACTATTATTTTGAAATACTTAAGATTTGCAAATAATATTTTAAATTATGATCACTAATAAAGCATAATGAACATATGAAAAGTTCAACATACATTCATTAAGAAGACATACAAAAAAATTACATGATGCCAATTTAGAATAAACATCTTCTCTAGAAGCTCTTGGACTTCATCAATTTTTTTTCCTATAATCTATTTAAAAATCTCTTCTCTGAAGAACCAAAAACCAGCAAATAATGTTTGTTTTTGTTGTTGTTTTAAACTCTTACTTTTATGAAGAGGAAGGGGTTTAATAAGGTCTGGCTGTGCTTGAGTCACAGGTATAGGTGGTCCTTTTCCTCCAATATGATTGTTCACAACTGGATTCTGTTGTCTGCCTCTTAGCAGTGGAGACATACAGCGACGTCTTTTAGGGATCCCTTGCATATTTGGTTCTCCAGGTCGTTTATGTTTATTTTGAGGTCCAGCCACAAATTCATCTGCTTCATCTATCATCATACCCTATAACAAAATATATAATTTCCCTGGATTTACATACAGTTTTTAAATGGCACAACTAATTCCAACTCCCATTAAAACAACTGTATTTAACTATTTGACATTTATTAGATACTCTACCAGGAAAATAGCTTTAAATTAAGAACTGTTAAATCCACAGTACCTAGCACAAACAAATTATAACAGAACATTTCACATTTACCTTTTTATCCAGCTTAAAGGGGTTGCCAAATGTATGCAACCTTCGAGGTTGATCAGGATCAAGTTCTCTTAGTGGAGAGGGTACTTGCTTGAGGTATTCCTGGTAATTCCCCATTTGTGCTATAGGCACACTGTGTACTTGATCTTTTTGAACAAAACAGAGCAACAACAAAAGTTAAACTCACTAACACCTGTTCTAGTTATCACGTATCTTCTTATATATGAATGCTACCTGGTGTTTGTTATTCTCAGCAGTCTTCCCTTACCACATACTCTAAATTAATGTGTTGCCATTATAAATATTGTAACATAAAACTCTTTTGAGATTTTTAAAATAAAATTTAAAATCACTGATTTTATCTTATAAACAAAACAAAAATATTGTCGCTAATTTCAGTACATAGAATTAGCAATATGTAACCTTACCATGAAAAGGAATGTCTCTTTTAATCTACTCCAAATATACACAATTTAATTATACCAGAATTAATAGAAAAATCACATACATAACCTTTTTTATATATAGCTATTATCAGAATGCTTACATCACAGAGAGCAAAGGTTAAATTCTCATCTGACTTGATATGTAGTAAGTGCCATGGATATGGTTGAAGAAAATATCAGAATATGACAGTTATTGGTCACCCAGAGTTAAACCATCAGACATCAGTATATCGTAAGAAAATAACTGTGAGTGTCTGTGTGTGTGAATGGACAAAAAAACCAAAGGAAACTAAGCTGTTAACAAAAGTTGTTACATCTGGGAATAGAATTTGGGACAACAGTGATGGCAGAAAGAAATGCAAAGAATCAGAGATGACTTTTTACTTCATTTGTTTGAATTTACAATGAGAATGTAATACTGTAATAATTATTTAAGAGTTATAGTATGACCACATTATATTTTAATATAAAGAAAAACATTTAGAAGAAGAAATTCCAATATTAAAACCATGATCTAACCTTCATCCTGTCCTTTAAGAAATCTGCGGGTGCTCTTCATAAGATTAAATCTCATTCTTGTTAAGTGATCCAAAAGATTCCGTCTTGGTATGTCATATGCATTTCTAAATGTCTGTGGCTTTAAATCCTATTGAAAATATTCAAAGACAAAAGTTATTTATAAACACAGAATTAAGAGACTAAAATCACTAGCCTGAAGCATAGGTTTGAAAATAAGATATAAAAGTTAGCTTAAAAAAACAGAATAGAGTTGTGATGCAATCTTAATGTACTGTTTTGGGAACCAAAAGATAAAAAAATTGGTAGTGATCTCAACCAAATAATCTCAAATTTACATCTAACTCAAGGTTTTATTATATATTCTGACAAAAAGAAAAAAATATCCACATTTTAAAGACTTTCAAGGTTTTTTTTTAAAGCCTTGATGTAATAATTTACATATCATAAAATTGCCTATTTAAGTATACAGTTCAATGAATGTTAGTAAACTTACAGTTTTGAAACAATCACAATCCAGTTTTAGAACACTTCTATCATCCCAGAAAGTTCTCTGTGCCCATTTGTAGTTAGTCGCTATTACTAGACCCAGGCAACGACTTAACTGTTTTCTTTCTCTGTACACTCCATTTTATAAATAAAATCTTGCAATATCTAATATTTTCTATCTGGCCTCTTTCACTTAGCATAATGTTTTTGAGCTTCATCCATGTTGTTCATATATCAATAGTCTATTCCTTTTTATTATAGTAAACTAGTATTCTATTATATGGATATGCCATATCTTGCCCATTCACTAGTTGATAAACATAGGACTGTTTTGGGGTATTATAAATAATAATATCTACCCATTTCTTCAAGTATAATTGCTATATAAACTATATATGTATATATATGTATGAATATGAGAGTTCCAGTTGCTCTACATCCTCACCAACACTTGACATTTTTCAGTCTTTTAAATTTTAGCCATTCTAGAGGGTGTAAAGTCAGACCTCATTATGGTTTTAATTTTCATTTCCTTACTGATCAATCAGGTTGACCATCTTTCCAGGTGCCTGTTCAAGTTTGTAATGTCTTAGTTGGTGAAGTATCTGTTCAAATATTTGCTCATATTTTATGGGGATGTTTGTCTCTTTATTACTGACTTGTATGAGTTCTTTATGTATTTTGATATTAAGTTCTTTATTCAGTATATGCATTTCTCCCAGGCTATAACTCCCTGCTCATTTTTCAGGGGTTTTTTTTTAAATAAATTTTAATTTTAATGAAGTTCGATGTATCAAGTGCTTTTTGTTTTGTATTTTAGAACTCTTCCATGTTTCATGACCCAAGTTCATGATGATTTTCTCTAGTTTTCTTCTAGTTTGCAGTTTTAGTTCTTAAGTTTAGGACCATGATTGCTTCAAGTAATGTTAGGTAAGGGTCAAGTTCATTATTTTGAATATGGATATCCAATTGTTCCAGTGCTACTTGTTGAAAGGACTGTATTCTCACCCACTGAACTGTTTTGGCTCTTTGTTAAAAATTAATTGACTATTTGTGTGAGGGCATTCTGTTCCACTGATCTATGATTATCCTTATGCCAACAACACAAATTATTGATCACTATAGCTTTATAGTAACTTTTAAAATTAGATAGTACAAGTTCTCCAACTTTATTCTTTTCCAAATTTGTTTTGGCTATTCTAGTACCTTTACATTTCCTTACGTATTTTAGAATCTGCTTGTCTGTTTTTACAAAAGAGCTACTGGGTAAAGATATTTTTAATAACAAGTATTCATAAAGCATTTTAGATCATACTGTGCACCTAAGGTCATAAGTACCAAACTACAGTGACTCTACCATTAGCTATATAACTTTAAGCGATCTCTAATCCTGTTTACTTATAAAATAAATGGGTTGGTTTACTTTTTATCAATACATGCATTCATTCACTCACCATGGACAATGTCTTTTTTTTAAAGAATAGTATATTGATTTTTAGAGAGAGAAAGAGAGAGGGAGAGAGAAACATCAATGTGGGAGTGCAACATTAATTGGCGGCCTCCCGCAACGCCCCCCACAGGGGATTGAGCCAGAAACCCAGGGATGTGCCCTGACCAGAAATCAAACCAGCAACCTATCAGTGCACAGGGTGACTCCCAACCAACTGAGCCACACTGGCCGGAGCTGTCTGTTTTAATTCTAAAATTCAATGATTCAATCCTAGTTTAATGATAATTATTCTGCAGAGGTATAAAAGTACTTTGAAAGTTTGGACAAACTGAGCTTCAATTGATAGAAAATTTGACCTATATTCAACAATACAACAGAATATAACTAGAGCAGTACTAAATTCAGGTAACTATTACCTTATTGAGCAAAGCAACTTGGAACCCAGTGTATTCTTTCATGTTCAGGTCCAGCAGTCTATGAGGAACATCCTCTGAAATTCCCTGGAGGAGTTGTTGAAAATCTTTCCTACAGGCCATTGATAAACCATGTGTCCGGCTTCGGACTTTAATTCCAGTTTCCTGTACTACTTTTTTGCCTACAGATCCAATGACTCGATCAGATTCTATTTTGGCCTAAAGTAAAAAATAAACAAAAATTGTCTTGATATAATCTAAATTGGTAAATTAAATACTATAGTTTTAGTCTTCTATAAATTAAACATTTATATATTTAAAAAGTATATAAGAAATTAAAATCTCAAGTGGCATAATTATGTCAAGTACTTGGTAAATTAAACATAGTTTAAACAATGTCTTGTGATTTTAAATCATTACAATTCTAAACTTTTGGAGCAGGGCAAACAAACACAACTTTAATTGTATTTATTTATTTATTTAAAGTACGTTTTTATTGATATTCTAGAGAGAAACAAAGGGAGGGAAGGCGAGGGGGAGAGAGAAACATTGATGAGAGAGAAACATCGATCGGCTGCCTCCTACATGCTCCTCTACCAGGGATTGGCCCCACAACCTGGGCATGTGCCCTGCCCGGGAATCTAACTAATGATGCATGGGACGACACTCAATTCACTGAGCCACATCAGCCGGGATAACTGTATTTATTAATACCCACTTCATTTAAACCATAAAATGTAAAGACATCCTAATTTAAAATATGTATTTCTAATTCAGAGCTGACATAAAATTAGAAAAAAAAATCATTTCATCAATATTTACTTAAAGACACTTATTAGCATGTAACTAAATATTCATTCTTATGGCAAATAATGATGTAGTTTTTCACTGGAAAGCAACTAGCAATATTTTGACTCTTTACAACCTGCATTTCAATTAGTAGTTAAAGTAGAGATGGCAGAAGTACTGGGAAAATGATGTATTTTATACAACATATAACTCCCAATAACTTGGGAGTCAGTTAAACTGTATATTGCTTAACTACCACAGTATCTGTTAATATGATTTATGCCCAAAAATGACAAAATCCAATGTCTCTTACAAATATTTCAAAAGAAACTCCCATTTTGAAAAAAAAAAAACACTATAGGTTTAAAATATAAAACAAAAGGAACTGATATTTTGTCTAAGAAAAATAACTTTCTAACAAATTTCTCAAAAGAAAACAAAGAATGTTCACATAGAGGAAGTCTAGGAAACCATTTCATATACTAGGAATTATTATATGAAATTAACATTTTAAAATATAGCATACCATGTACTTCAGACAGAATTATGTTAACATACGATATATGTAGTTTTAAAATGTATATACTAATAATATGGAATTCTATTGAAACTATCAAGAACTAAATAACATCTGGCCTGCTAACCATCTTAGCCAAAACCATTCAAAATACATAATGGCTCTATTTCTTAACATTACCTGTTGACTCAATTTTTTGAGATATGAAATGACACTGTAACTTAGTCCATATTCCATACTGTCTGCTATGAGGTTAGGTGCTCCCATCATTCTAACAGCTTTCCTCAGAGGCTATAGGCAAAAAAGAAAACATCACTTGTCAAGAATTTATGGCTAGATGTATTATGTCAGTTTTGAAAATGTCTCCTTTTCTTCAATAAGAGAGTAACATCATATTTGTATTTCAGTTAAATGTTTGTCAGTGGAATGAAAGGCAGTTTGAAATAGTTAAAAAGATTAGAGGCTATAATAACAACACTCAGGGCAAGAAAAGGTGAAGTCCCAGATTTCCTAGTATCATTGGAGATAGTAAATTTGGAAGAAATAGGCAGGAGACACATTGCAGAGGTAGATTTGGTAGAACGTGTCTAGTACCTGAAAAGGAGTCGAAGAAAATAGAAGATTTCTACTTTGGGTAATTGTGTGGGTGTGGTTCAACCACTCACCATCTTTGTGGCACTATATGAGATTATATAACCTCTCTCTGCCTTAGTTTCTCATTTGTAAAATGGTAATAATAGTATCTACCTCAGAGGGTTGTCATGGGATTAAATGAACTAATACATGTAGAGCACGTATAAAAGCATCTAGCACACAGTATGCATTTAGTAGGTGTTAATCATTATGACTATTATCATTAGCTGGGCTGAAAAAACAGAAACAAGCTCTGAGGGGAAATGAGGAGGAAAAAACAGCCTAGTATTTACTATGAATGTGGTATAGTGAAATAATACTTAATTGTAACAAGAGACCAATTAAGAACCACTTTGTACAATGAGAAGTATCACTAGGAGGAGTGTCTAGCATATTTGAATGGGATACACACAGAAAAAGGTTGATAATTCATTGACTTATTAGAAAATGTATAAGTACTTGTGTGAAACTAGAATCAAATCCCAGCTCTGATATTTAATATCCATGTAGCTTTGCCTAAATCCTCCAGGTTGCTATGAAATGTAAATGAGCCAACATATGTAACATTTGATATTCAGAGTGTTTTTTACTTTCACTCTCTTACATGGCAGGCATTATGTGCTAGACACTCATACAATTATCACTTAAAACTATAAAATATGACTTTTAAAGCTCAAGAAATTAACGTTCTTATGAGGAATCATTTACAAAGCTCAGTTACAGTCAAATACTATAATATTCCTGAATTAAAAGCAGAAGTAATGTCTAAAACTGCTTTCGGTATAGGTATTTTTCTTAAGAAGTTACTTTTCATAAAATAAAGTAGTATACCTAATAATATACACATTATTGGTCTTATCTACCATGATAAGCTAGGTTTTAAGTAATCAAAAAGTTCATGGTTCTAAAAATATATGGTTCTATGAGAATATATACTTATCTAACCTAAAGACATATTTCTGAAGATTTAGGAAATAATGTAACAAAAATAATTTTGTACCCTTAAAGAGAAATAATTCTGAAACTGCAATTTAAAAATACAGTACAACAACTGAGATTTAAAGCCTAAATTCTAAAGCCAGACTGCCTGGGATTGAATTCCAGTGCTCCATATATTTGCAATGGAGCCTTAGACAACATAATATTTTAGTGCCTTAGTTCCTTCATCTGTGAAATAGGAACAATGATCATTTCTACCTCATTGGATTACTATATAAATTAAATGAGGTTAATACATGTAAAGTGTTTAGGACAGTACCAGGCATAGGGTAAGTGTTGTATATACTCATGATCACCATCATTATATCATCATTATTCTGCAAATCACTGAAACATTTCTTTCCCATTACATCTATATTGGTCATTTGTACACACAATTTTCATGACATTTAATCTATAACAGCAATAAATAGAAGTCTGTAAAACTTACAATAAACTATAAGCATAATATAAAACTTTATAACAAGTTCTATTTTTAACAATAATATTCTTACCCCAAGATAGTAGGGAGGCATTGTCTTCAAATAACTTTCAAATGACTGTCTCCATTTCAATGTTGGTTTTGCTTTATGTACTTTAAACAAGTCATCTATAAATGTATAATGTAAACAAACAATCATTACTCATTGTTTTCACAGATGAAAATCAGGTCAGATAAGTTTCACTGGTCTGCTTTCTTAATTGTAAGAGAAAAAGTAACATGAGACATAAGCTTTTAACAAAATAAAAATGGTAAAATTTCTGGTTCTGGAATTTTCAATTAGTAACACCATTTTAAAAATGAAAAGAAAAAAAAAAAGCCAATTATGGTCTAGAATTACATCAAGATGGAATCAGGATACACACAAGGAAAAATTATACCCTCTTTAGACCTAGACATGAAATAAACTTAAGAACAGAAACAAAGTATGCACAGCATTTTCTATAAAATATAACTACTAATATTTTGAGTCTAACTTTAAAATCTGAAGTGATTTCATAAAAGAAAAGTAGTCTTCTCCAACAGTATTCCCCCAAAATTATATAAACAGATGGTCCCCAAAAACTAATTTTAGGCTTTTATCATATTATTTTGGAACAAATTCATTCAGTTAAAAAAATAAAAGTATCTGCGCCAAGCGAAAATTAAGATAAATTCTTTGAAAGAAAATACATTCAGAGCTTATGAATATACTTTACAAAATGTCTTATTTACCAAATATAAAGCCTGCATTACTAATTCTAACTATGTAAGAAATCTAACTTAAATTAATAACTTTAAATTTAATCTAACTTAAAAAATTAGAATATTTAGTTTTTTTTAAATCCACACCTGAGGCTATGTTCATTGATTTTTGAGAGAGAGAGAGAGAGAGATCAATGTGAAAGAGAAACATTAATCGGTTGCCTCCTATATTCGCTCCAACCAGGGACTGAGTCCTGACTGGGAATCAAACCGGCAACCTTTTGGTGTGCAGGACGAAGCTCCAACCGAGCCACCAGCGAGGGCTAGAATATTTAATTTAAAAATTTTAAATATAATACCTTCATAAGTTGTTGGCTCAAAGGTGGTCTGACACTGCCTTTTAATAATTTACCACAAACATGCAATAAAACAACCGTCGACAAGTCCAGTATTTAAAATTTTTTTAAACATTTTCATTAATTTTCAGCAGATAAAAAACTCACAAAGAATGTTCCCGAAGTTTGTTTTTAGAAAAATTTGTATATATGCTCGGCTACAGAGAATGCAACTTACCTAAAAGGGGAAGGAGGACTGGGTAATTGTAAGGCATCACAAATAAGTTGACACAATTCAGTGCTGTACTGGCTTTCAGGTAACCAAACGGGTGACCAAGTTCACTATATTTAGCACTATTGCTCACATATACCTGTAAAAAAAGGAGTGGTTAAAAGTTATTACCTTTTTTTAAATCCTCACCCAAGGATATGTTTTTATTGATTTGGGGAGAGAGGAAGGGAGAGGGAGGGAGGGGAGAGGGTGGGGGAGAGAAAGACAGAGAGAAACATCAATGTGAGAGAGAAACATCAATCAGCTGCCTCCCAGATAGATGTGCTCCAATAGGGATGGAACCCACGACCTTTCGGTGCATATGAAGACTTTTCCAACCAACTGAGCCACACTGGTAAGGGCAAAACTTCATATTTTTATGAAGGTTAAAGCTTTTACCAAATGTTATATAAATCACTGATTTAACTTTTTAAGAAACATTTAACTTAAATCATTGTTCAGCTCACCTGCCAACATGTTTGAGGAGATTTCCTTTCTAGGATAAATTGAGTCAGTGGTGAAGGTTCCAATTCGTATTTGTCAAAAGGCAATTTGTCAATAACCATTGGTTCACAGTCTGTACAGGAAAACTTCACTACAGGATGAGATGTACGAGGTGGCTACAGGAGAAAGTCTTATTACTACTTACACAAAATACCAGAAACAAACTCATTTTCAGTACTGCTCACTACCAAAATTTACTCAGTTCCTTAGTTTTGCTAGTGAGAGTTTAATTTACTACAGAAATCATCATTAGCTGAAAGAAAATAGTCAGAAATACAAAGGTTAAATTAAATAATATTCAGGAGAAAAAGACAAAACACTTCAAAATCTATACAAAATGAAAATCTTTTAAGGTTTAAAATGTAAAATTTTGAAATTAAATTAAGTACCCATTAATTTTTATATCCAAGAAATAAGAAACATAGAAACCTTCAATTTTAAGTCCTCACTTGTAGAAATGTAATTACTTATACAGAGTAGTGGCTTCCAAACTGATCATATACCTTCAAGTTTTTGAATATACAATAAATTGGACATTATATATATTTATTTTAAAATTATTTGTAAATTATGAAGTATGTATATGTATAGGTGCATAAAAAAATATATCCCATAGTAATATTAAAAATAGAAGAATAAAATAAACATGAATAGAAGTTCTAATATATTCCTTCCCTACTGTGGTGGACTGTTTTGGTTATCCCTACTTCTAGAGATACAAAAAACCCACAATACTTCAAAAGGACAAAAATGGGGGGGTATGTTACTCTATCTCTCCCTTAACAGTTTCCTTCCTAAAAATCTCACTGGTCTTTTTTGAGGGTCACAGAGCTCAAACCAGCTTTAGGGGGCAGCTTTAGAAGTCAGCAACATGGCACAAGACATTAAGGCCAAAATGAAGATCTACCAGACTGCCCCTCTGACAGCCACTTCCTCAGCCAGAACAGGACCAGGACCTGCTGGCCACCTGAGGAAGATGTCTCTGTATGCGAATGGTATTGGTGTATGTACAAGTTTCTCTGCCCCAAATCCTGGGTGTCAGCCTAGGACAACTACCAGGCAGAAGTCATGTTTCCTGAAAAGATCTCAATGGACTCCACCGCCTCTCCTCTGTCCTTCATCCTTCCAGGGTGGTGAAGAAAACCCTGGGTACATGGTGACCCCCACCCTGGGATCCTGAATCATGACTTAACTAGTAATACTGTTGGAAAGTGGAAAATAAATAAAATCTCACCAATTAAAGACTGGTGAAGAAAATATGAGCTATGAAGAAATAATTTAAAATTTCATAGCTATAAAGAACTCTCAGCTTCAGTTACTCTCTATACGCTGGTGGCTCCCAAATCTGTGTTGGGACTAAGATCCTTTCCATTTCTCTTATGTATCTAACTGCCTGCTAGACATAAACTAAATCTCGTATAGGTACTCAGACACATTATTATTCAATTTGTTGTTTCTCCCTGAAACCACAAAACCTGTTCTGAAAACCTAGATGATATCTTAAGTATCTCCCCCTTATCCTCCATATTTAATTGTCACAATTAAAGATTGTGACAAAGATTCCATAAATCTAGATAAAGATTCCATAAATTCTAAGCTACTTAGCAGAACACAAACATGGCAGGTGCTCAATATTTAGTTACTACCCTCTGTCAGTACTAAATTCTTATCTCTCTAGAAATTTATCTTCTATTTTTTATCACTCTAATTCATGCCTTCATTTCTCAGACTAGACTAGTATAACTGCTTATTTTTAATTAGTCTCCCTAATTAGTCAGCCCCCTCTAATCCCATGGCCATGAAATTTAAATATGATCATATAATTACCCTATCTGAAAATATTTGGTAAAATAGCCAATCTATCTGCCTTTCAACCACACCACACTGTGTACATCCTGTATTCTAGCCATGCCAAACTACTAGCAACTGCTCAAATAGATCATCATCTTTCATGCCCATGTTTCACATATTTTTCCTGACTGCTTTATTATTTTCTCCCTTGCAAACTGCAAATAAAGTTTTGAAATCTGAACTGGCAATTAGCAACCACTAAAAGACTTCTTCCCTGCCTGGCTGGCATGGCTCAGTAGTTGGGCATCGACCCATGAACCAGGAGGTCAGGGTTCAATTTCTGGTCAGGGCACATGCCTGGGTTTTGGGATCGATCCCTGGTAGGGGACGTGCAGGAGGCAGTCGATGAATAACTCTCTCATCATTGATGTTTTGATCTCCCTTTCCCTCTCTCTCTCTGAAACCAATAAATTAATTTTTAAAAATCACATTAAAAAAAAAAAAAAAAGACTTCTTCCTTGATACCCCTTCCCACTCTGTATCCCAAACACATACCTCCTCTGTGTTCTGCTCTGTTACTCTATTACAGTTAACACACTGTACTCTACTATGTTTACATGTCTGACCTTCCTATAAAATGGTAAAGTTCAACACGGTAAGCACTATGTTTTAGTCATCTTGTGCGTCTGTGCCTAGGATGTACCTAACACATAGTTTAGTGTATCAGTCCATGAAACTCATATTTTGGATGAAAATATTGAGGTCCAAGAGGAAGAGGGAAGGAGAGGGAGTCCTCTAGAAGTTGGCAAAGAAAATCTGAATTTATTATTTCATTTAATCCCACAAACAAGCCTATGAGATATGAGCTACTATCATCATTTAACAGATGGGAAATTAAGGCTTAGAGAAGATAATTAACCAAAGGCACATAGCTAATAATTGGTAGAGCCATGATTCAAATTCAGAATCACTCTCTAATAAAATCACACTTAATTTCAATATCAATATTTCTTGTTTGAAATATTCATAAAAATTTCATTTCCTCTCTAATACCCTTCCGTTACTAAATTTTGCCAGTTTTTCCCATTACTGTCTTTCTTATGATTCTTTCTTCCATCATCTTAATCCAAACTCTTAATATCTCTTATGTGAAAAGCCCAAGAGGAAACCTGCTCACCTTCCAACACATCTACTTTTGCTGCAAATAACAAACCACCAGATTAATTTTCCTAAAGCAGCACTCTGTAAAAATGTCTTATTCTTTCAGTCCCACTGAAAAAAGCCAAATTCCTTAATCTTGCACTTAAAGTCATGAATAACTTAGCTTATTTAATAGTACTCTCAATGTTCTACCTATGTGTTATGACCCACCTATACTCAGCTACTTGTTATGCCTCTACATACACCTTGTTCTTTTTAACTTCCATACTTTTTTCTCATACTGTTTCCTCCTCCCACTGAAATTCTACCCACATTTCAAATTCCTCTATGGCTTGTAACAATTTGCAATAGGCAACTAGAGTAATGTTAATAAGAAATGTTTGTGATACTGATTTTGAATTTCTTTCTATTAGGACTAACAAAGTACCATACGTACTGCTGTAGGTATTAAATAGACAGCAGAATGAATAACTGACAATACTCATACAAATATGAAACCCGTTCTATAAGAACTGAAAGGGCTCTAGAAGGGAAAGTAAAATGAACAAAGAAACTGAAAGTTTCTCTATAAGGCCAGATTAAAACAAAACTATGATGGTTCAATCAGAAAAAAAAAAAGGAATAAAGAAGATACCTCACTGAAATTTATAAAACTTTAATTTCATTAAAACACCAAATGAATAAAGGAAATATCACTTTACAGATCTTGGGTAGCTTAAAAGTAAATATTATCCTGAAGATTCAATATAGGTTTAAAGTATAAAAGGTGTCATATAGGATTCAGTTTAATTCATAAATGATAGCTCTATGAAACATTTAAGACTGCTTAATGATATCTGAAATACAATTCTTATCTTCTAAGGATAATATGTCATGCTCTCCAACAAAATAGCCCATGATGTCCTCAAATACTGGAAAAAATACTAATGTGAAGAGGAGAAAAAAGTATTAACAAGATTAAACAGATTGTTTTGTATAAATTTACCCTATTATTAGAAAAACCATATAGTGAATACTGATAATTCACCATAATCATTCAACAAGCCTCACTGTTTCTAAAAAAAATAATTCATGTAAACAAGACCAGAAAATCTTTTCTACCTTAAACCTCTAGACTGACAACACTGAGTATAACTAAAACCATGTAAGTCAACATGAATTTTAAGACTAAGGCCTAAAAGATTGAAAGCAAATGAATCAAAATTATTGTGTAAGCCTTCATTTAAATTCTAAATTGTGTCCCTGAGACAAATCTTCATGTTACATTACGTCTAGAGTCCAAACAGAAACATTACATCTATGATTCTATACCTAGGTGCCAGTAATAAAAACATAGTATTAGATTCTAAAGAATAGTATTAGATTCTAAAGAAAACAGATACCTTTTTTCCATTACTACATAATAAACAATACAATATACTAAACCAACTAATAGCTTATCATAGCACTTTGAACATCTAATTCCTATAAATTAGCCATACATTTAACTGATAAGAGTACTTAAAAATAGTACTTAAAACTAGTACGAAAAGCAGCTAAATAGTTACTATTACAAAGTCACAGTTTCTCTGTTACTTACTAGTGTTGGAGAATTCTGATCTGGCCAAAAAGATTCTGGAACAGGCCAATGACCTATAGGAACCCCAGTTTTAGGATTTGGCCTGACATATATGAGTTTGTGACAGCTATGCCAAGGCTGAGATCCGAAAGGCCTTGATATATCTGGCTGCCCATCTATAACAAAGAAATTAAGACCAAAAAAAGCATTTATTAAGGGAGAAAAGTATCAAAAGTTCAATTATATCTATTATTACTTAATAAAAATCTCCTAATGCTTGTTCAATTCTGAATTTGCCTCGTTTTCCTGAATGGTAGAATACTATCATGACTACTTAACATTTAGATGAGATTGCAAATGCCAACTATGAGTTCAGCAGGTGAAAGGAGGTCCCACAGTATCCTTTGCTTGCCCAACATGTAAAAACATACTTTATCTAATAAATGGTTATCTAATAAATATGTTTCCCCCACCAGATGATAAGGGCAAACACTCAATTTCTTCATCATTGTGCTTGGCTTAGGAAATACTAGACAAGTATTGCTAAATAAGTAATCATTTTTATAAAGCATAATAACTAAACAAAACAACAACAACTTAATATGCAAATCCAGGCTTGAAGTACCTAACTTTCATCTGAAATAATTCTATCAAAATAGCAACTCTCTTCAACTAAACGTTTATTTAGTGCCTAACTTTAAGCCAAGCATTAAAATAATTTAAAAATACATTCCATGCCTAACAATGCAATTAAAAGAACATTTAAAAAACAAAAAATAGAAACAATGATACAATTTATATAATCTTAACTGTCTTCTGTTCCTTTCCTATAATTCCCCTCTTAGGGTACCCATTTTTTTCATCTCTATGGCTTTTCTCTTCCTCCACTCTAGTGGATCACCTCTGCCAAGTGTCATTAACGATTCTCCAATTCTTGTTATAAGCTCCAATGTACAATGCAGATGGTCCAGATGTAATAGTTGTCCACTGGTTCTAATGTAATTCCTTATACCCTCTAATATAAATAGTTCATGATCATAGACTGTTAGACTAAAGCTAGGTGGAGCTTAGCTAGAGTTAAATAATCAAGATTAATGGCAAAGGCTGGCTCCTCTTTTTTTTCTTTTTTAAATAATCCTCACTTAAGGATAATTTTTTCCATTACTTTTCAGACAGCGTGGGAGAAAGAGAAAGTTATAGGAACATAGATATGAGAGAGACACATCAATTGGTTACCTTTCAGACACACCCCAACCAGGGCAGGGGATTGAACTTCCAACTGAGGTATGTGCCCTTGATCAGAATCAAACCCGAGACCCTTCAGTCTGCGGGTGGATGCTCTAACCATTGAGTCACACCAGCTGGGGCTGGTTCCTCATTTTTGGAACCACACAAACCATTTGGTTCTGACCAGTTTCATCCTTAGAAAAAATATAGCTAAGGAATTAAATAAACACCTAAAGTACACTCTTGTGAATTAAGGGACACGGGAGAAGCATATATACAGGAAAGAGACATTATAATACTAAAAAGGAAATATGAGGTTGCTCATCTGTAAATGCTTTAAAAAGTTTTTAGTTCTTATAAAATTTCAGGCTATGAACAATCAATATAAAAAAGTGATGCTACTGAACCACTATCAGTTTACCTTGACTTTCCTAGTTAATCTTCCCTCTTTACCAATAGCTGTTTTGTCATCTTAATAATTTGGCTTGTCAATCTTAAGATCAAATCAGTTAATTTTTCAATTCTAGTAGAGTAATTGATACAGCAAATTTAGAATGTCTATAAGAAAAGTGTGACAATACCTTCTACAGGTGAAGGATCTGGTCCTGCTTTTTCAAAGTTTATTACCACTCCACTTTGCACTTTCTGCACCAAGGATTCCAGACACTGATTAAGCATTCTTGGAGAACATACAGAGTATGAGCGACCTGAGATTAAAAAAAAAAAAGTAAAATAAAGTGAACTAGTCAGTTGCAGAAATTTCTACGTTTAGCAAGAAAGAATAGTGGGGTTTCTGACAGTATTAAGGAAAGTTCAATGGCAAAATTTGACTTATTTCATCATCTTATGCAAGAATGAACAAAATAGTTATTTTCAATAAATCAACAACTCCATGTTGTGAGAGAATACAAATTTTTTCCTTCCAATTATGGGTATATGGAAAACAGAAATCTTAGTCTAAATAAACCACAAGTTAAAAAATCGTTTTATTCATATATGTATATTATATAAAATGTGATTTCAAAAACATATACATAAAAAACTATCTCTAACTGTTATCCAATACAATTAATTTATCTTTACTATACATACACAACATCTAGTATCTAACTCCCCAAAACCTTACTCCTGCTTAACAAGTATTATCAATGAGATTAATGCTAAGCACATAGCACATAATTATTTAATTGGTCTGAGGACAGTTATTGCTTATTTTAAATATGTGCATTTTAATATATAGATGGTAGGATGTGCTTTTCTGAATTTCACTTGGCTTACATACTTGGGAATTACCTTTCTTTAATATATAGATGGTAGCATATGCTTTTCTAAATTTCATTTGGCTTATGTACTTGAAAATTACCTATCTTAAATAAATGTCCTTTTTGAATATTTTATAATCTATAGGATTTTTAGTTCGGAAGCATTAAAATGCTAGTGATTATGAAAAAAATACTAATAAAAGGATCCCTTAAACAGAGATTTTCAGTATATCTAGACCTGTGCTGTCCCATATGTAGTCACTGGCCACATATAACTATTGACAACTAGAAAAACGAGATGTACAGTAAGTATAAAATATACACTTGATTTTTCAGTCTTAATATGAAAATGATGTAAAATATCTCAACAATTTTTAAATATAGATTTCATGTGGAAATAATATTTTATATCTATTGAATTAAGATATTATTAAAATTAATTTCACCTGTTTCTTTTCAATGTGACTACTATAAAATTTATGATTATGTATTAAACTTGTATCATATTTCTACTATATGTGCTGATACAGACCAATACTGAAAAGCTTAACAACTAAAACAATCTTTAATCAGACATCTTAGAACAACATAATTTGCAATGAGCTCAATATGGAATTTTTCAAATTCAACAATTAAACCAAACACAGCTATATCATTATAACTGACACACCAAATTACCCATATCAATTTTTATACTTAACATGTGATTTGCTAAAGACTACTCAGAAAAGAGAACATTCAGCAGCAGTATGATTCAAATTCTCAGTCAGCTTTACTTAGAAAACAAGTATCATATAACAAATAACTTATATGTCAATAATGATAGATTCATAAAAATACCTACCAATTATGAGTGTCTATGTGCCTGGCACTATTCTAATCATCATATTAACTTATTTAATCCTAGCAATAATGTATGGGTTACTTTCTCCATTTTACAAATAAAAAAGCTTACAGAGGTTAACTAATTTGTCCAAGTTAAGTCCACTAGTACAGCCAATATTCAAATCCTTAGTATATCAGAAAACTTAACCTGGGTATACTTTGTTCCCTGGAAATCATGATAGTAATTTGAAATCAATAGTTAAAACAGAATGTATATATGGAGTCACAGTTATTTGAAAGAATTAGTAAATTAAAATTTTTTTCTCAGTCAACTTAAACATGTACATAAAACAATACATAAAAAAGCTGACCATCTTAACATACAAATTATGTAGAAGACTAAAGGTTGATTATTTTGTTTCATGAAACATAAGCATACTCTTAAAATGTCATTAAAAAACAAAAGTTTTTAAGTGTGAAATTGTGGCAATTCTCTCTATTCCCCTAACCAGTGTCATCAATTAATTGATTGGGAAAATATAAGTAAATGAGTTACGATCTTAGTATGAAATAAAATTAATAACAAAGATGTTAAGCAAAAATTAGAGAAAAAGTAAATAAACTTGAGTGAATAAACTTGAGTCACTTGGCAAATAACAAAAACCCATTAGTTCTTTTGAAAGTTAAAGAGAAATAGCAAATTTTGCCATCTTTACAAAGTGAGCCTATGTCCTATGTAATGTTTCTCTTATTCTCCATGTAAAATCTCACCTCTTGGAATGTATGAAACTTTGCTTGAAGCATAAAGTTTTAGGAACACTAATTACATTTGTGCAGAAAGCACACACCTTCAAGTCAAGAAGCTGGCTTAGTTGTGTTTATATAGAGTCCACCAAAAAAAAAGCAGTAAAGTGAAAAATGACATAACTTTCCCATGAGGTCTACTAGACTAGCATTTTAGTATAACAAAAAGACAAAAAGAACATTTCTAAGTTGGGCAACAGTCCTTAGCAGAGGCTAAGAAAGTTAAACTGATTTAATCTAGAAAACTACCTTACAATTTTTATGAAATGTTTTTGATCCTCAATACTACCACCATGTCTATTAGGCATTTTTTAATTTGATATCACCCCTCTGCCTTCCCCACACCTGCTTCTCCCCATCCAAGTCCGTGGCACAGCCATTCACTTCCCCTTGTTCAGGCCAACTGGATAATCTAAGAATCATCCTTGATTCCTTCTTCCCTCGTTGCCCTCATCCTTGGTTGTCCTTTGCATCAGAGCTCCTTACCAAACTTAGCACTTTAAACCAAAGTACAGTCATCTAGACCCTGCTTCAATTCTTGCCACTTTAGAGTATATTTTCATACTGGAGCTGAAGTGATGTTTCAGAAATAGAAATCAGATGTCACCTCCTAAAACAAGCCCTTTAATGGCTTCTCATCACAGTAGGAAAATAGAAAATATTTATTATGACCTAAAAGGATATTCAATATTTGGTCCTTACCTATCTCTCTACACCTCTTACTCTCTACTTCTTCCCATGTAAGCTCCATCCATATCAGCCTTCCTGTTGCTCTGAAAATACAGAGCATGCTTCTGCTCTTACAATTTCCTCTGCCTAAATCTTTGTATGGTTTACTCCATTATTCAGATCTCTACTCGTATATTACACTTATTGTAGTGATCATGTCTCAATATATACGTGTTGAATCACTTATGTTGTACAATTAAAATAATATAATGTTGTATGTAAAAAGGGTGGATGAACATGCCGTAACAATAGTTTTAGCCGGGCTGATTTAATCTCTATTCAAACAAGTGACATTAACTTCAAGGTCAAAGATATGCAAATGTAATTTATTTTAAAAAACGTGTTTTATTTACTTCTTTACACAAGTATAATAATCTCTAAGGATAAGCAGTATTTCAAACTGGGGTAAGCATATTCTTTAGGTTTTATGGGGGGGGGGAGTGGGGGGCACCTTCTCAGAAGACGTCCCAAGAATATTCACTGTCTGTCTCAAATTACTCTCTATACCTTTACCCTGTTTTTTCCTTCACAATAAGTAGCACTCCCTAAAATAACATTTATTTTACATGCTTTTATGCCAGACAGTCCTAAAATGTAAGCTTTCAGTTGATTGTTCCTGGTGTATTGTCAGCATCAAGAATAGTTATTTGGGTTCTGGCCAGTTTGGCTCAATGGTTAGAGTGGCAGCCTGTGGACTGAAGGGTCTCGGGTTCGATTCTGACCAAGGGGTCGTACCTCAGTTGCAGGTTCAATCCATGACCTGGTCAGGGCATATCAGGGCATGTGCGGGAAGCAACCAATCAATGTGTTTCTCTCACATTGATGATTCTCTCTCTCTCCCCTCCCCTTTCTACTCTCTCTGAAAAGCAATGGAAAAATATCCTCAGGTGAGGATTTAAAAAAAAAAAAAAGAACAGTTACTTGGCAGAGGTAGTACTCACTAATTACCTGATAATTAAAGAAAAATGCTTACAATCACAGTCATAAAATTTTTTTTAAAAGCATACATAAAAAATATAACAAAATATCAATTATTTTGGCAACACAGGCAAATTTCTTTCCAGTCTTTCCCTTAGTGAACATGAGTTATTTTACAGCAGGAAAAATAAATGTATACACACTGCTCTTATTGAGTTTTTAAAAAAGCATAAGAAAAAAATGCACAATTATTATCAGTGATTACATATTACATAGTGCAATATCAATGGATATTAGCTTTTCTGTTCTTTCTACTTTTTTGATGTTTTACCCTCAAAACTTTCTTTAGTGAACAATAAATAAACATTATTGAGCTATATGAAAAGTATTTGAGCTACTGCCCATTACCGCTAGCAAGAGCATGAAGAGGGAAATAAACTAGTACATCAAGAGAGATTCAGGATGTATATTTGGGAAAAGCTTCCTAATTTTTTAACCAACTAAGGTTTCTGGGTCATTAAAAGATATTACCAAGGGTGACTTCGGAATCTTCTCCGCTGGAGATGTTCCTTTCAAAGAATAAACAACATAACTTTAGTATATTACTGCCCAAAGGCAAGGATATTAACTACTACATGATGTCTTAGGTTCTTTTCAGACCCTCTCTGACTATACCACTCACTGCATTTCACACTCTGAATATTCTTGATCCTAGAAGACAAAAGTTATAGTACATGTAGTCCCATAACTTTGCCATAATTCTAAATTCAAACTAAGGAATTTATGGTAAGAAATTTCCAACGCGAGAATGTTTAAATTACAGCCTCAAGGCCCTTCTTCAATCTGTTAAGTGAAAACCCTAGAGCTTAAAAAAAAACAACAAAAAAAACCCCACAGGATTTTAGCAAGGCTGAAAATTAAAATTTCCTGAATACAAATGTGCAGCCACCCACAGAAACAATTAGGACTGTCACTGAAAAATATTATCCATGCACAGAGAATTATTAGCAGTGAATCTTCAAATTTAGATGACAGATAGGTTTCCCTTTAAAATTTTATACATACATCTTTTTCTTTTGTAAATTAAATTATGAAGGCATTATAAGAGTTCACCAAAAAGTACTTCTCTTAAATAGGAACATTTAATGATAAAATAATAACTTCCTAACCTGTCTACTTCATATACTCTTTTTGTCTGCGAATTTTGCAGATGTCCAACACCCATGGAATTTTAGTAGAAAGGCACCTAAAATATCAATTAGACCTTGTATTTTCCTTTAACTTATATAGCTGGCTATGATAGAATCTCAATAGAGCACCAACTGTGTCTAGAGACTATGCCGCAGGTCCCTGACACAGGTAAAATAGTGGTATGCCAGACTTGGACATTTTACTGTCAAATTCCTTCAGTAAGAACTAAAATGCTGCATGAAAGCAAGACTACTCTGTCTGTCATGTTCACTACTGAAGTCATGGAACAGTGCTTGGTACACAATCGGCAATCAATGCATATCTAAACAAATTAATCTATCTGTTAGCCAGTTCCACATTAAAGAAATTCTGAACTTGGCCGGACGTGGCTCAGCGGCTGAGAGTCAACCTAGAATCCAGGAGATCACAGTTCGATTCCCAGTCAAGGCACATGCCTAGGTTGCAGGCTCAATCTCCAGTCTGGGACACGCAGGAGGCAGCCGATCAATGATGACTCTCTCATCATTGATGTTTCTCTCTCTCTCTCTCCCCCTCCCTCTCTGAAATCAATAAAGATATATTTTAAAAAAGAGATTCTGAGTCAATTACATATTCCGTTTCAGGAATGTTATTAATGTTCACTTAGCACAGTGACTACCTGGACTAGCTGGGTATGACCTTACTACCCGTGTTTCCTCTAACCCATCTAGCTTCCTCTTTGCCTCTGGGGAAAACTACTTAACCAGGCTTTAATCAATACATGCATAATGGATAATGAGATGATTGTCAAAAAATTTTTCACAGAAAATAATTCTACGACATTTGTAAATCATTGGCAATCTTTGTAGATAAGAAAGTAACAACTTCAAATACCAGCATTTTCTATATGGGCAGAAAAAATTACCGTTATTAGATCCAATAGTATTCATATCCTATTCAAATCAAATCAAAAACCTTCATCAATGTAGTTTTAAAACCATATATGACTACTAATTACTAATATTATAAGTTGTTAAACAAAAAGAAACATGCAGTTTTTAAAATGTACATTTTAAAACATTCAGGTAAACTCTGCTTTAAGTCACTGAATTACTGCCAGCAAAAAACTTACCGCCTGTCACTTCACACATTGGTGTGATTGCAGAGTCATCTAAAGGCACACCTGTCAACTGTTCTGATTCTACTGACATGGTGCCAGGCAACCGCAACACTAATGCAAAGAGTCTCTGATCCCAACGAAAAGGTTCCTTGGTCAATTCACTTCCAGGCAAAGGAGAATTAAGAGGTAAATGGAGCTGAAAGTAAGGGGGGGAAAAAACAATAAGATTTCCACACGCTACTTTTCCCAAAAGGCCACATTAATTACACTTGTATTAAGACCACATCATGAGTCTCCTAACACTCAAAAAACAAGCTCAAAAACAAAAGTGTATGCAGATATAACTAAAATAGCACATGAGATACTGTTATTTCAATTTTCTTTAGCTCTTCTCTCAAGATCTCAACTGAAAAAATCTATTACTGTAATGCTTTTCAGATTTTAATTCCACTAACCACCAAGTGCTGGACTGTTTCTAAATAAATCATTTCATTTCATCATTAAAACAACTATTTTTATCCCTATTTTCTAGATTTTAAAAAAATGAGTCAGAGAAAAAATGATTTTGGCCTTTTGGGTATAAGTCTGTACTTTTTCTACTACACCACAGCAGCCTCAAACATCTCCACAGTTAACAATTTAAATATGCTTCATTTTATACAAAATACACATTCCCAAGTATTTGAATAAAAGTAAATTTTATCACTCTAAACATATTAAATGTTATTAAAGGCAATGATTCTTACCACATCTGAGTAAAAATAGAGGGGTTTTTTGCATGTCCCCCCCCTCATTTATCCCCTTTATGCCCTCTTTGCATGTGTTTTTTTTTTTTATATTTCTCCCCATCCCCATCAGACCTGCTAAATCAGAATCAAAAATTCTTAAGAATTTTAAAATGCTTTAAAGTGATTCTAAGGGGCACCTCTGTACCAACAGAGTAGAGAATCCACACATCAATCTTAGCAAAAACTAAATGGGAAGAAGTAGACAGTACATGTCTCAGGGTGTAATGCAATAGGTCGTAAAACACAAAATGGAAGAGGGAAAGAAAGGAAAAAAAGGAAGAAAAAAAAAATAAAAGGAAAAAGGTTGAACCTGCATCTAACCAAGTCCTAACTGCCAGTTTACCAGGAGTACTGGAAACATAGGAGAATCAAGTTTAACACCTCCACAAGGGAGCAGTCAAATCCAGAATGGGAGACATTCCACAAGACAGATGACCTAGTTCTTCCAATAAATTAATGGCATGAAAATGTAGAGTGGGAAGTGAGGAAGGTTGATGGAATTGTTCTAGAATAAAAGCCAAAAAAATCAAAAGCAAAGATTTTTGTGACAATTGGGAAATTTTAAAATATGTTACTGAAATTATTAACAATATTTTCAGTGTGACGATGATATGGTGCTTAGGGAAACAAAAGTCCTTATTATCACTTATAAAATTTCTCAAATTAAAAATAAAGCCCAGAATCAGCATACTAGGGAACTTATACAAATATTGGAGTTCTCTTCAAACTATATAGAACACATTTTAAAATTATCACTTCCAAATTAATTGCCAGAGTTTATGCCACTTTCTTCATAAAGACATACTTGTATTGCTTACAGAGTTTCTATTTCTCACCTCAAAGAAGATTTCTGAACTTAATTAATTATGGATTGAAGTCATTCTACACCAACTTAAGACTCAAGTTTCCTCATTGACTTACATCAAACCATTAAAAGAAAATCAGATTCTATTCTAAGGACAGTTCCTAGTAGAGCACTGCAAACCTGGCATCTCTCCCCAAAAGATTCAGTGCCAAGAGAATATGATTCCTTTATCAAAATCAGCCAAGATTTTGTGACAATGGACAGGAGTCATGAGCTTTTCCTCTGGCACTGACCCTACTGAAGGCAGAATTCAGAGGCAATAGGAAGGAATGTTGTCAGAAATCTGAGCCACGAGGTTCTCTGAGGAAGGGTCTCTAACCTCAAAGGCTCTGTGACACTTGCAAAACAGCTCAGGAACTCCAACCTCACCCTGCCAGAACATAAAAAAGCCTTTTACTCCAGACTAACCACCTTTGTACAACTATTAGGTGCTTTTTAATTTTCTCAAAATCACAGAAACATCAACGCACCAGTGACACTGGCAGAAAACAGTTTCAACTGTTAATGCAATGCTCTGAGATGTAATGGATTTGTGTAACTAGCTCAAGAATCCAGTGCATAATAGCAATGCACAGACCTCATATATAAGTGGTGGACAGAATAATGACAGACCCCATACTATATACACATACACAAACAACTAATCAGGTAATGATGAATGTCTACAAGGGAGACAATATACAATGAAATAATTGGCCTTTGGCTGTACAATGAAAGATATAGAATGTATTTCAAGTAAAATAAACAAAAAAAACAAGAAGGGTCATAAGCATATTTTACACATAGCTATCAATTTTATAAATCTGTCAAATTTTATTCATTTTTCTATTTTTTTATTATTTCCTATTCCCATATCACCACCCTCTGTAATCATTGGAGAGGAAAGGGGAAAATCCCCTATAGCTAAAAGGTGCTAGTAAAAGAGGAAGGAATGATAGTAGTCAAACAAGGACAGGAAAAGTATCAAAAGCATGGAAGAAAATATCCTTAGAAGGGTTCAATTACTCCAAATCTAAAGTCTACAGTTGAAATCCTAGCAATGTCTTAAAATCACAGAAAGGTCTCTCTAAATACATGGACTTTGAGAATTAAAGCAAACTGCACATAAATCATAAATTTTAAGAAAAATATAAAATTAACCATTAGGAAAATGAGCATTAAAATGAATAGATAATTCCCAAAGGTGAAAAATGGGCACACAAAAAAATACCCAAGAAAATTCATACGGCCTATAAATATGTGAAAAGATGCTTGAATACACTAACATAAGGTAATGCAAATTAAAATATCAAAGATACCATTTCACACCCATCATATTAGCAAAATTTAAACGTTTGAAAATATCAAGTGATGATAAGTATACGTAGCAATGGGAACGCTCATCACGACTACATGCGGGCATTTTGGAGAACAATTTGATAATGTTTGGTTAGCTAAAGATGATCATACCCTAGGGCCCAGCAATGTCACCTCTAGTTACACAGAAACTCTCATATATTTTCACAATAAGTCATGTAAAAGAATACTGTCCACAGCATTATTTTAAAAGAGGAAAAATGGAAACCTAAAAGTCCAATAAGGGAATCAATAAATAAACTGTGGTCTGTTCATAAACCAGAGTTGAAATGAATAAACTAGATTCCTAAAATCCAACATGGATCGGTATCAAAGCAGTATTTTTTGGATATTATAACATAAAAACATCTACACATTATACATAAAAGAATATAAATCATGAATATATAGCTTGATGAATTTTCACAAGTTGAATGCCCTTGTGTAACTAGTACTTATAATTGAGAAACAAAACCTTACAAATTTATGGCCCCTCCAGTTACTACTCCTTTTCCAAATGAGTAGTTTTGCCTGATTTTGAACTTTATATAAATGGAATTACAGAGTTTGGTCTCTTTGGTTTATGACTTCTTTCATTCAATATTACAGGGTGAGATTCATCCATACTGTTGCATACAAGTGTAGGTTATTCATTCGCATTGCCATATAGCACATGTGGGGCAGGGGCGAGGGGAATATACTATAATTCATTCTTTTTTGTTGTTGATAGGCATTTGGGTTGTTTCTAGTTCAGTTATATTATGAATAGAACTATGAAATTATAGTTCTTTACAGAAAACATATATATGCATTTCTGTTGGGCTACACCCAGAAGCATTACTGCTGGGTTCATAGTGTATAAATATATTTACTTTTATTACATACTGCCAGTTTTCCAAAGTGGTTGTACCAATTCATACTCCAACCAGCAGTGTCCAAGAATACCAGTTATTCCGTATCTCCTTTGCCAACACTTAGTTTGGCTGTCTTTTTCATTTTGGCCATTGTGGGGGGGGGGTGTAGTGTTGCCCCAGTGGAATTTGAATTTCCCTGAAGTCTATGAAAGCTGGACACCTTTCATACATTTCTTGGCCATTTTTCTGTGCTCTTTTGTGAAGTGCCTATTAATTTCTGCCTACTTTTTAAAAACTTGAGTTACCTTTTTCTTATTGATTTGAAGGATTATTAATATATTCCAGATGAGTCGTTTGTTGGATATAGGTATTACAAATGTCTTCTCCCACTGTGACCTTTCATTATTTTAGTGGTACCTTTTGATAAATAGAATTTGTGGCCTTTCATTATTTTAGTGGTACCTTTTGATAAATAGAATTTATCATAATATATCTTTCCTTTCATGATTAGTATTTTTTGTGTCCTCTAAGACCATGAAAATGTTCTACATTCTTCTGAATATACCAGTTACATTTAAACCTGAAATGTATTCAGAATTGTGTTTATTATATGATATGAGGTAGGGGTGAAGGTAGATTTTTTTCTCTAATGAATACTCAATTCATATAGCCCTGATTTTTGTGTTTTGGTTGTTTTTTTAATCCTCACCCAAGGATATGTTTTTATTGATTTTAGAGAGAGAAGTAGGGAGAGGGAGAGAGAGAAACATCAATCAGTTGCCTCCTGTACTCACCCCAACCGGGGATTGAACCCAGGGCATGTGTCCTGACCAGGAATCGAACTCTGGATCTTTTGGTGTAAGGAATGACACTCTGCCCACAAGGGCAAGGGCAGAGACATAGACCCATATTTTGAAAAGACCATCCTTCCTCTGCTGCTCTGGATTATCACATTTTTCTTCAATTGGTTGACTATATAAGTGTGACTCTATTTCTGGATCAAAACCAATATGAAACTGAAAAGAAGGCACAAGGCAAAATGGTACACATAGACTACTAGCATCTATAGGTACTATGAAATAATTACTTAGTGTAGTTTTATTTATTTTTTAATATTTTTTTTATTGATTTCAGAGAGAGGAAGGAAGAGGGAAAGAGAGATAGAAACATCAGAGATGAAAGAGTCATTGATTGGCTGCCTCCTGCACTCCCCCTAGTGGGGATCGAGCCCGCAACCCAGGCATGAGCCCTGACGGGGAACTGAACCTTGATCTCCTGGATCATAGGTCGATGCTCAACCGCTGAGCCACTCTGGCCGGGTGTGTAGTTTTATACATGTATAATATATACACGT